ACTCACACTCTGTCTCCGTCTCTCAAAAATAAATAAACGTTAAAAAACTTAAAATTAAAATGAATACTCAAAGAACTTGATGCACTCGTTGTCTCCAAGGAAAAACCCCGCAGAACAGCATCAGGAGACCACCTCATCATGCACACTCCTAGATCTTTTGAGCTGTGCTACTTAAAAATATGTAGCTAACGCATATACAAAATTGATAAAAACCAAAGGAACAAGAAGGGCAAAAGCATTTTCTGGAGGCACTAAACATATTCATTTGTCTTTAAGTCATCACTGTACCCAACATGGGGCTCAAACTTACAACCCCAAGATAGAGAGTTATTCGCGCTACCAACTGAGCCAGCCAGGCACCCCATTCATTCATCTTTTTAGAAAAAAAAAATTCTCTTACATAAAACCCATGAACATGTAAACCCAAAAATAAAGGAAAAAAGCATCTATAACTCTTAAGCAAATTCTTAACTTTCTATAAATTATATAAGCTAGACCAGACTTTTGTTTATATAGCGTCAGAGGACATTCAAATTGTCTTCCAGATAAATCAAAGAAATTAGGATATTTTACATTAATCAAAAGAAGGAGAGGTATGAACAATATTAGTTTCAATACATTTTCCTTGTGCCTTTTGGTGGGATCTACTTTTAGCAAGAGGCATTTAACATATATAATTACTAAATGTATATATAGAAAGGTATAAAAATTAGCTTTCATACCACAGTCTAAAAAATGATTAATGTAATCTTATTTAGTTAACAAGAAGAGAAAAAAAAAAACCCTCCATAAATAACCATCTAATTATAAGAACACAAATGTTATTTTATAGAGAAGTGAGTAAATAAAGCTTCCTAAATTGCTAATTATTATAAAGTCTGGGATAACTATGTTGTGATGAGCACAAAAATATCACTAACTACAATCACAAGCTTCTGAGCCTCAAACGCAAATTGGGCTCAGGTTCCAAAATTCTAAACATTCTACAAATGGTATGGTTATACAGAAAAACAATGAAGAAAAATCACAGTTTTAAATGGATAAAGACATACAAGGAAACATCATGGTGATGCGGTTAGGAGAAAGGTCAGAGTATATGACGAGCTAGAACCGTGACTGAAGCTAAGTGTTCTGCCATAATGTCCATGTGCACTGGCATATTAACAATAAATAGATCCCTGGAATTACTAGTTTTATAAAATGTAAACCATTTATTCAGGTAGCAGCGTAGCTGAACTCACATCCAGTGATGTTCCAATAGAAGTGCTCATCGTTTTGACACTTATTTAATACTAGCAGTAGGAAATGCCTATTAAATGTGTGTATACACATTTGTGTAAGTAAAAACATATATACCTATTATATAAAGTTTATACACATGGACTCCACTGACCAAGTAAAAAAAAATTAAGTAAAAGGAGAAGTAGTATTTTGGCCAAATCTGAATATCAGTGGTTTATACCATAATACATTCATAAAATAAAACTATATTTGTTACTATCATAATCGTTTAGAAAATTCTGATATTTCTACGTAACTTGAAATCTGGACATTTTTACAATGCAGGGATCAAATACGAAAACATGTTATATAAAATATTTTTTCACTTAAAGGTATGAAACTAAAGGAAATCATATGCTCAAAAGCAAATTCTCTGTTAATGATGCAGAGAGCCTTCTAGTATAAGACAGATGGTTGTATACTGAGACTAGGTCAGAAAATATTTCAAGTGCTATTTCTTTATTTTTCTTAGTAATGGCGTCAATGTAAAATGATCTTTTCGTTCCCATTGGCATATCCTAGGAACTGGTTTGCACATTGGAGTAAACCTTCCTTTGATTCAGAAGTTATTCCTACTAAATTCAGATAGACGTATTTCTGTATAGACTGAGGCCAGATATAAGAGAGCGAAGGCAATGATTCTGAGAAGTGGAGCAGGAAACCTTGCTACCCATAAACCGAGTAAAGGTTTGTGTTGTTCCCAAGAGCTCAAACTAGCTCCGCATCAACGAAATCAACTGACTACACATTCCACTTATTATAGCCTCTTAAGGAATAGCCCAACTGACTATTTCCCAGGAGGGAATTCTGACTACAGCAGAGGCCACTGCTACCTGGTCAGCTGTGTTAGGCATGCCACAGGTGATAGGCTGAACTCTATAGAACAGCCAGAGAGAGAAACTTCAATGGCACAGCCCCGCTCAATGTTTGAAAGAAATGCCTTGAGTCTTGGCCAACAAGTTGTTAGAGATTGTGCTCACGCACATTCTTTGTTTGGGTGTGCAGAGAATGAAAAAGCTACGTGAAAATCAGTAAATTCCCTTTAAGGACATGGGCTCTCTCAAAAAATCTTGAGTTCTAGGAGTCTAAACAATCAGAAGCCACACATTTTCTAACGTTTGGCAAAAGGAGAATGGTAGAAAATCTTAAATAGGTTTCACGGCCCTTCAACTTTGTTAGCTTTACTACAGTAACAGATGTGAAACTGTGCACACAGCTGTGAATGATGGAGATGAAGATATTCAGGACTATCGGGGGGGGGTCTAAATCAAATATAAATCTTGGTCATAAATGTAAGATAATACAATAAACACTAGCAGATGTATATTTAGACAGTATGTATCCATCACAGGACACTGTCACATGTGCTTTGAGAAGGCACCTTATGAGTTTTCCGTGCAAAAGCCATCTTTTTATTTCACTTTTTTACTCCTTTTGCTAAAAAGGAAGTTTTCTTGTAAAAGAAGAAAACAAGCTACCAAAGAACATCCTTAAATATTACCCTTAAACATTAATTTGGTGAGAATAAATTAATATATACAATTAACACTATGAATTGACTATTTTTTTTAAAGAGGTTTCCACTATTCCCGGTGATTATAATTCAGTTATTTTAAGTGTTAGTTTAATTTACCAATTAAGATAATAAAAATCACACACCAAATCTGTGTGATGGATAACTTAAGGAGCAATGCCACTTCTCATGGTCTACGTAGAAAACCAACAAAACAAAACCTATAAGACTTCCTTCGTTACGTTTGCACCTGTATCGCCACGACCCAGAATAATCAATTTCATTAACTCAGCGATAACGCTCGTACATTTAGTAAACCCCCATCAAGTGGATGAAGATGTTTAACAGCGAGGCTGCCTTCAGTGTGAAGGCAAGCAGGAGAGCCAGGAGAAGGATTGGGGATGGACAGATGGTACGCCAGCATGGGAGAGGGTGATGAAAGCAAAGTGGGAAAGAACTCTTTCTCCCCATTCGTCAGTCTTCCTAAGACCTTGATAAATGACAAGTGTTTCTCTTTCCACTGAAAATGACTTTTCTGGGGGGCCCTTATCAGGCGCGCTATAAAGTACCAGCACCTAATCTACCTCTTTTCCTTTAATGGTCAAGGTGGAGTTACTTTTACATCTAGAACATTTTACAGTTCCTTTGTAAATATTATGATTTTTAAAGCTGGGAGGAAATCAGGAAATCACTCGGTTTAACTAAGCCCTTGTTTTGCTGCGAGGGGAACTGAGGTCCAGAGAAGCCATGATTGCGTCCCTAATCTACATAAATATCCTGGCGTGACAAAAAAAGTTTGGGAATGCCACATTTAGTGTTATTAAAAGCAAGAGACGAACACACATAAGAAATGCTTCACAACACAAAGAAAAAAAGTACAAAAAAGAGCTCTCCCTCAGAATGGCTAGGTCATCTTGTTCTGATGTTAGCAGGAAATGGTAGATTAAATATAATGGGCTTTAAGAAATGGAGTAGGGAAAAGGTACTAAATGATGAAAAGTATGAACACGTGTATTGATTACCAACCAAAAAATTACGTACAAAATACTTACCAAGTACATATTATATCTCGAGGAAAATCCATAAAATGAGAGCTATAAAGCCTCTCGTAATTATTTTCTACCAAGTGTGTTTCTATCTCTGTTTCGTTGTAAGAACAAAACATACGGTAAGATCACGAAATGCACTGAATTCAAATCCCCAGCTCCCCTTCACATGAGGCACCTATGAGCTCAATTCCATTGCCACTTCCTCCAGGCGGTTCTCAGTGAATATTCTCCTTACACTTCGCTGCGGTGAGCAGGGAAACCTTGGGATAGAGTTTGATGATATCGAATTCTGCACAGCTTTCGATTCCTACTTCTATGACAGCCTTTCAACACGTGACAATTTCTTGTGTCAAAATAAGTATTTTTCTTAAACTTTAAAAGCGTGAAAATTCAAATATGTAGGTGTGTTCGGCTTCCTCATGCCTATCATCAGAGCCAACGTGGATGCTTTTTCGCTGGAATCACCTAGATCAGTGCTTTCCCAAGCGTCTCTGTGGCAGAATGCAAACTGACTTTACAATATGGCACCTGGGTAAACACTTTTGTTGTCACTATTTAAGTATGGGTTTTCACGGACTTTAGGAAAAAAAGGACACACGGTTTTAGAAGTGAATCCATTTTAAAAATACGTTAAGTAAATAACAGTAGAGGTGGTGTGAATATGGCCAAACTAAATATGTAAGGTTTGGGAAATGCTATTCTACATATGGTAACTTCTCCAGTGATGAGTTAACATAAATATCACTGTTCGTGAAAATTCCAAACTAAGTTGTATTTTACTCTATTACTTCCTGGCTTTTATCTCATAAAACGGTGTCAATCCACATAATACGAAAGTAATTTCTTTCCACAGAAATTAATTTTACTGAATATCACTGAAGGAAGCCTATGAAAATCAGCATTAATGAGTAAGACACACCCATCTTTCCATTATTAATAACAACTTCCCAATTCACCTCATTGTGGGGCACAACATCAATATTGTTCTGCACAATAATACCACATGTACCACACCCTGGGTAATGCCACAGTACTCCAACTGCTCGACACAGTCTTGCCCAGCCCAGTCTGTGTTGTTTTCTCCCCTCCAGAGAGGAAAATGTACCGTAGGCGCTAGCAAGAAGCTAAATGGAACAAGTCAAAACTGAAATACTTACTGTCGCTGGGGAGGCCCGAGTAGTGTGTGTCACTGAGTGACCAGAGTTCTCCATAGAATTGCCGATAAGATAGGTTCCTCCAGAGCTGCTGATGAGTTGTCCTCCGGTGACGCCCATCTGAATCCCACCGGTGCCCACCATGCTGTGGGATGAAACCACGGTAGTCACCTGCGCAGAACTCCCTTGAGTATCAAAGTAATTCCCTCCAGTGTTTTGGCTGTACATCTGCGTTTCTGTGTAAGGGTAAGTTGTTGTTCGGCTTTAGAAGAAGAAGGAGAAAGGAAGCAATTTAGTAGCTTATTTCTATCATCTGAATGATTTTTTTTTTCTAGCGTGAATATATGTTTAAATGACATCAGTTAGCTTATTGGCCTTTGGAACAAGGCAAGTTTGGCATTTTTGCATGAAACTTACTCCGGACATAGTTGGGTTGACTTCCCAAATGAGAGTACCTCAACATTCCTCTGTACTTGAGAGCTTTTTTGCCCTCAGCTAGTGCCTACCTCCAGCGTATAGATAAGTTCAGGTCTCGTCCATGTAAGAAATCTTCCTGAACAACTTGTCCGATTCCTTACAACACTTCCTGCGGATCCCAGTTTTAGGAAGGGGGCTGATGAGTCAACTCGCCCTGCTACTCCCCATTCTTGGATGGCCGGCAAGCAGCTTTCATGACCAAGGGAGTGGGCTTGGATCTCTTTCTGGCCACCGCAAGGACCTTGAGCAAAGAGTTCACTCACCCTGAACCCTCAGTCCCGCTCTCTACCCCCTTCTCTTCCTTCACACTCAGGTTTCTGTTGGAGGAGAAGACTGTGCCATCTTTGCGTGCCCTCACTTTCCACTTGGCAACACGTGGAGTTAAGCTTCTGCCCTTGGCTTCTCAATGCAGTTGCTTTTCATAAGGTCACTTGTGACCAAATCTAAATACCAAGCTAAAAGGCTGCAGTCAATCCTTATCTTTTTTGACCAGTCTGTAGCATAACGTTGTTGACCGCTCCGTGGAGCCCTTTCCTTCCTTCTCCTGTTCTGATTAAGTAGCTTATTTGCCTGATTTATTTTCCATCTCCAATGGACTCTAACTCAAATTTTAACCTGACTTTGGCTTTTCACTTCTCATTCTGAAATAATTAGAAGCTCACCACAGGTTGCAAAAGTAGGACGGAGAGGTATAAAATACTTTTACGTAAAAAAATTCAAATATCAAAAAGTCAAATATTAAAATTCCCGGTTCTATCATCATTCTCTTCAACCTGCCACACTCCAGAGCTAGCCACTCCTGATAGTTTGGTGTCTATGTTCTCAGCTCTCCTCTATGTATGCATAAAGTAACTCGGTCCTAACCTCTCTCATTTCTTAAATTTCTATAGCATTTCTTCTCCACTTTTTTCCACCATTACTTTTCAAAAACCTTTTGGAAGCTCCAGCTTTCTGGGATTTTAAATACTAAGAGTTTCGGAGGTCTCCATTTTTAGTTTTTTTCTTTCTCCTTTTTATTCAGATCACCTCTTTTTACCATGCTCATAGTAAATGACCTTACCTAAATTAATCTCTCTCTCTACTTTGTGATTATATCTTTAAGAATTTAAAATCTGGTTTCTAACAGCCACCTGGGTATCTCTATCAGGAAACCCCACGATACATGGGAAGTCCCCTGTGTAAAATTTAACATTTGACCAGAAAGAAATTCTCCATCTCTCTTGCTCCTTTTCGCATAGTCCCCCCACTTCCAGGCGGAGGGCAGCACCACCACCCTCAGCTTTGGAAATTATTACTGACTCTTTCCTCGTCCAGCCCGACATCAGTCACTAAGTCTTCCTAATTTTACCTTCTAAACAATTTTTCAATTCTCCTTTCCATTTTCATACTCACTGCCTTCACTCACAATATTCTCTATTATAATTGCCCTCTCACTGGCTTTCTTTCCTCTAACTTGGTTCTCTTCCAATCCGTCTTCAGATCTGCGGCCAGGGGAACTAACTTTTCTAAAATTCAAATCCGAAAATAAAAGTTTTCTTAAAAACCTCTCCATGAATCTCCCTGGCCTCCAGAAGAAATTCTAAACCCTTGATCTGCCTTACAGGAAGCTGCGAGGGCCGGTGGGGCCCCCCCCCCCCCCCCCCACTGCTCTCCGGACGTGGGACTAGCCATGTCCTCAAACGCTTTCCTCACTCACACCACGCGGACCTTTTCACTGGTTCCTCCCAGAATTATTTTTCTGCACCCCTTGCTGTCTATGGCCACTCCCAGTAGGGCTGTTCCGTTTGTTCCCTGTCGTCTCCCAACACCCTGTGCAAACCTGAAACACTGACTGCTAATTTCCAGTAATGCACTTACTGCTGATTTCCTCATGTCTCCGTACTCCTGTGAAATCACATTTTATTCCCATCTGTGCCCTCAACACTTGACGCACCTGCTGGTATCCAGCAGGCACACTAGTCAACAAATAAAAATACGATTCTATTTAAAAGTATATTTGACATAATAGCCACTTTCATCAATTTCTAAAACATAAATCCTTCTTTGTTTTGTGAACACATGAGAAGTTACGTAAACTATTCCGAGATGTTTTGGTGTCGCTGAAAGCAGGTCATTTAAACCCATTACGATGGATACTTGTAATATAATTTATAATGTACATTCTAGTAAAATAATAAAGATGTTCCAAAAGTATTCTCCACTCGGTAAAGTTACTGCTTTCCTGAAAGAGCACAGATCCAAGTACAAAATTTAGTTTGGGGTGATGATTGAAATAACTCCACAGAGAACGCTTTTTTACACATAGAAAGATGTCATTTAAAATACATATACATCATGGTTCTATTTCCCAACTGGAAGTCCATTTATATTTCAAAGAATAGCCATGTTGATTTCAAATTTAGGTAAAAAAGAGAAATGCAGTCACTTTAATTTATCCAAATATGACAATGACCCTATGTCATTGCGCTGAAAATAACCGTCTTTTGTTGCTATTTAAGTAAAGCCAAGTAAAGTGTAGAAATAAATAGGTGACAATAAATATTTCCACAAAGGTGGGTATGCTGCTGGCCTTCCTTTTCATGGTCCAAACAAAATGATTACGCGTGCTTCTAGCACTAACTTGATTTCACAAATGAAACACCCAATAGCTAATAATAGAGAATATTTCCTGACCAGTTCTGATGCAACAGGCACTATTTTACGTGCTTTTCAGATGTTAACTCATTTAATCCTCATTACAACTCTACGAGATGGGTACTATTCTAATTTCTATTTCACAGACAAGGTGAGTAATTGTTTAGAAAAGGTTAGATAGATTACATAGCCTTGCCCAACCATGCTTTCAACCATTTCATCACAAAGAAATAACTTTTTATGCATGTCAAAAATATTTGTGAACGACCATGGGAAGAAATCTCTACAAGGTGGTCCAGGGAATGCATGAACTTCCTGTGGCTACTGGGGATTTCCTTACACCTGAGCTCACTATCTCCTAGCACCACAATCGCAGAAGACAGACGCGCAGTGATCAACAAGGAGAGATGGACAGGGCAGGGTTGTTTCAGAGGACACTTAACCGCCTCACACTTGAAGTTTAGAGGGTCTAAGATCATGGAAGAACCAAGAGTAGAGTAGAGTAGATCGCCACTCTATCATAAGAGAAACACTCCGAGGGATCTGAATCACTCCATCTGTTGGACATGCCTCCTCGATATACTAAGTACTCAGTGAACAAGGGTAATACAAACAAATGCACCGTAGGTATACAAAATCTCTATAGCCCGCAAATCAGTATGAAAATATGGCAATTGACTTTTATTTTCATACATCCTTCTAGTAGTTAGAGAGATGATTCGTGAGCTAGAAAGTGAGAAAAGAACGCGAGGAGGGGAAAAGTCACTGAAGGATGTGCCTCATCCATATTTGACATCACGTGGGGGGAAAAGTCTTGGCTACTGCACAAACACATATTGGGGTAAAGACTGACAATTTCAGCTGGGGGGGAGGGGCAGGGAAGAACACATTTTATCATGAAATCAAGTGTCGTGAATGATTTCTGAATTTGTCTCTGACAAATCAACACTTACAGTGGGAAGAGAGGAGACTCTTAAACTGGGTCACAGAGGCAGACCACAATATCCTTAGTCCTGTCCTTCAAAGGTTAAGAAGATAAGCATTAACCCAGTGCTGGATTTCTGCCTGGAGCTGGAGCCAGAGCCATGCACAGATAACTCCTAAAGTTCTCTGTCATGTCTGCATGCTCTAAACTCCTGGATAAATACTGAAAAATGTGTGTAAAAAAAAAAAAAAAAAGCAGACAACAGCCAAAACAGTTCTTTCTTACGTAGTAGAAGCAACGACTCTTTAATTCTGATACCTGAGATCAGCCTATCTTTCATAACGTATCATGAATACATGTGAGTTATGGCTTGCACACTATTTCCCAACCCCCCCCCCAAATTTCCAACACATACGTTCCAGAAAATGTTCCAGAAGCTTCTTCGTAGCTGACTCTTTTATAAGGTTCTGTGTGAATGTCAGGACTGATCCAGTGAATTCAGGAAATTAGTGCTATTTGTATCCCATGATGCCTCAGCATACACTCTGGCTAAGCATGACCCTGAATAGTCCCAGCCCGCTTATTTACTAGAATGATTATGTCAATTTACCCTAGCTATAACCTATTTTCTATTTTCTTTAGCGTCAAGTGTCTTATCCGCAAGTCCAGCTATATAATACCTGCAAACTACGTGCTTTGTGTTTTACCCAGGTTTTGAATATCCTCCCACCAATAAGCCAGTCAACTACAAAATTAAGCAATGGCACGAAAATGGTAAATTAAGGAAATAAAATATCTTGCAAGTTTTATTACATAAAATTTATTATGAAGACAGAATATGGTAATGTGGATCATGATAATATCTTACATTGGTATAATGTTTTATTCTTCACTGGCTACTCTGTACACGTTCTTGTAACAAATATTTACTGGGCATCTATTCTAGCACCCAGAATAAAAGGAACAAGACAGACACGACATCTACTGTCATTAAGGGCTATGTGATATAAGGAGTAGGTGATCACAAATATATGAAATAAGATAATTAGGAATTTTCCTAAGTTCATGAAATAAAAATTGAATACGAAAGATAATAAATGGAAGGGAGCATATTAGTCAAGTAATGTAACCCCAAAGAAGAGATATGTAGATTAAAACTAAAAGAGGAAAAGGGGTCCTCTCTATGGAAAGGGGAAAGAAAAACCTATTGGGAAGAGAGCACAGCATGTGCAAAGTCACAGCACGACAAAGATCCTGATATTTAGGAAGAAATTAGAAATGAGAAGGATATTAGAAAGAAGTGAGGTTTAAAACGTAGGTAAAAATTAAACATGCAAATAGCTTAAATATTTTTTTAAACTGTCGGTCGCATTTACAGTTTTAACAGGTCACAACAGCATTACAAAAAGAGACTAGCGTGGCCAGCCGACAGGCTAGCATATTATACCTAGTGAGGCGAAGGGTTATTTTGAGGAACGTTTGTTTCTATCATATAAATACATGGTGTGTGCATGCATATGCTCACGTGTGCATTGACCTGAGTATAAAATGTACATCTAACTGTGGATGGTAGTTTACAAGTTTGAAAAACACTGTTATGAACTCTGGCAAGAAATCTGAATTTAGTACTAACGTGGGGCAGGGGTAAGGAGGCTTGGGTCCGGAAAGGTGAAGGAATGTTCCAGCCAGAGAAATAACCTGAAAAAAAAAAAAAAAGCCTGAAGCCAAGGAGGTAGCTGGAAACCATGAGAAAAGGGAGTGGCAAACGGGTCCCAGTGCTGCAGGTGGGTCATGTGACATGATTCTGGAACATGTTCATCAGACATGATAGGAGGTGATCTTATTCCAGAGTGTTTCAGTGTCCTGATAGCAATATTTGATTTATTGGAGTAGATTGAGGAAATAGGTAACTAAGGTAGCCAGAATGTCTTTTAAATATTTTCTAAAACTTTGAGAGCACCACGGAGAACTTGGAAAATTTGGGAACTAGGAGGAATTATTTTTAAATATGGGAGATATATTATCTCACTTAATCGGCATTAGGTGAATCACGTGGGTGAGGAATTGTTGGGGCACCTGGGTGGCTCAGTCAGTTAAGTGCCCGACTTTGGTTTTGGCTCAGATCATGATCTAATGGTTTGGGAGTTCAAGCTCTGTGTTGGGCTCTGTGCTGACAGCGTGGAGCCTCCTTGGGATTCTCTGTCTCCCTCTCTCTCTCCACAATGCTCTCTTTCAAAAATAAGTAAGTAAATATTTTTTAAAAAAGAGAACTGCTACCCCTCTTACATAGTCATGAGCAGAATTTAGTGGTAGCAGAGGCACACTGGGCTTCTTGGACGGGGTTTTATCTATGGTCTGGGGGCTGCCTAACCTTTTTCAGTCATACTCTGCAGACTTCTTCAGTCACAAATACCTTTCGATAAATCCTGTGTTTTGCTGAAAGAAGCCAGAGTTGGTTTCTGTTGCTTGAAATCAAGAGCCTTGCCTTCAACAGTTTTCCATTATGAAGGTTTTATGTGCATCACAAATGCCCCGCATGGAAGGAGCCACATTATTTGGAACCTTCCACAAACTGCGTTCATACGGTATATAATCTCGGGCTGGCCGGCATGTATGATTTATTTGAGTTTCCAAACAGATCTCCTCTTGAATGCTTCAAGTCAGACTGAAGCCAGAGGATGCAACAGAGGAGCGGTGACATATCCATTTTGTGAAAGACACCAGGGGGAAAACAGTAGTTCAGAAAGGAATTCACGTGACACGACACTTAACCTCTTATTATTACCCAAGAATAAAAAACAACAGATTAAAATATAAAGTAAGAAATACTACTCAGAATCACTAACAAAACACTTGGCTTGATTTACATTCAGAAGGCAAGCTTATTTCAAGTAATAGTAAATTAGTAAAACTAAATGCATTTATTAGTAAAAACTAAATGCATTTATTGATTTGTTGCCAAAATGACTAGGGAGGAAATGAAAGAATGAATGTTAAGCTTTCTGGCAGCAACTAATTGAACTTTCTCATTCATCCGTAGGATTTTCATTACTATACATGTTGATAATGGACAAGGTATTGGAATTGAAACTTCAAATTTGTATCATCCTATTACCATTACATGCAGATAACTGGATGTTTATACTTTGTATTTAAATTCTTTTTTTCTATAAAAAAGGAATGTGGTTCTCACACTTGAGCATCCATCAGAATCACCAGGAGGGGTTGTTGAAACACAGATTATGAGACCCCGCTCCCAAAACTCCTGATCCTATAGAACCAGGCTGGCGCTTCTAACAAGTTCTCAGGTGATGGTCAGTGCTGTTGGTCTGTGGAACTCTGAGAACCACTGGACTGAAGGATATTAAAAATGTACAACCCCTATCTCACAGGTATGAGGGAAAAAAGTACTGTGTCACAACTATTAGCTCCTTTAGTCTGAGTTTTCTCAAAAGTCTCAAGTTGGCTGTTATAAAGGAGTTTTCTAGTCAATTGCAGCTAACCCAGAGGAGCATTACTAAAATTTCCATTGCTCCCAAGTGGTTTTTTAAGCACAGCAAAAAGGTACACGTAGTAAGTACATTTGTCCTGACAACATAAGTCAGGAAAGTGCATGTGCACTCAAAACAACTGTGGTTGAAACGGATCATAAAAGATTTTGATCCAGAGTCCCTGGTCTAAATTTATAAATAAGAAAAACCGAGCTGGATCAAAGGGTAGTTCTATTTTTAACTTTTTGAGGAAACTTCATACTGTTTTCCATAATGGCTGTACCAATTTATGTTCCCACCAACAGTGCACAAGGATTCCTTTTCTCCACATCCTCATCAACACTTGTTATTTCTTGTCTTTTTGATAATAGCATTTCCCTGATGATTAGTGGTGCTGAGAACTTTTTCATGTACCTGTGGGCTGTGTGTATGTCTTCTTTGAAAAAATGTCTATTCAGGTCCTTAGCCCAATCTCTAATTGGATTATTTGCCGT